ACTGTGGGTGCAACCCCCGTCGAGATCAGACAAGAGATGAGATATCGGTCTGATACTCGACGGCTGATGGAGTTTCACGAGCCACCTTGCCGGTGATGCGAAAAGGGCAGGGGGGAGGGCGGCCAAGTTAGGTCGTCTCCTCCCCAACCTGGGCGGCCCGGACGGCAGGGTTCGTCGGTTGTACGCGAACACCGTCAAGTCGGTAGCGCTCTACGGGGCCCCTGTTTGGGCCCCACGGCTCGCGGCATCGAGGCACGCCCGCGCCTTTCGCCCGATTGCCACGAGGATATGTAGGGCCTACCGGACGGTGGCGTACAATGCGGCAGCGGTGATCGCCGGCCTCCCCCCGATGGAGTACGCGGCAGAGGAACATTACAATATGTTCCTCGAAAGCCGCGACTCCGAGGGGAGGCCGATTAGATGGACGGCGAACCACCGTGCTCGGAGGCGATTCCAGCACCGGCAGTGCGCAATCGCCAAATGGCGAGAGGCGTTAGTAGCCTCGGGGGACACTACCCCGGGGCTCCGCGTCGTCGGTGCAATCGGGCCCCTCCTCGACCAGTGGGTCGATAGAGGATGGGGCGGGTTGTCCTTCCGAATGACGCAGGTGCTGACTGGGCATGGCTGCTTTGGTCACTACCTGTGTCGTATCGGAAGGGAGCAGAACTCCGGCTGCCACCACTGTGCGGCCGAAGACGACACCGCCCAGCACACGCTGGGCGAGTGTCCGGCGTGGGCGGGAGAGCGGGAGGCGCTCACCTGCATTGTGGGGCAGGACCTCTCCCTTCCAGCGGTGATCACCGCGATACTCGAAGAGGAGAGGTCCTGGCACGCGTTTGCCTCCTTCTGCGAGAAGGTCATCTCGCAGAAGGAGGCAGCGGAACGGGAGAGGAGGGGGCAAGTCCCTCGTCCCCGCCCGCAACAGCAGCGGCGGCAGCAGCGCCGGGCTCGGGGAAGACATCCCCGGGCTCGGCCTGCTCGGCCCGCCGTGGGGAATGGGGTGGGAGCTGAGCCAGACGGGGGGAGAGCTGACGGGGAAGCATTATCTCTCCCGGCCT